GTTCAGTTTTTCGTTCGTAATTTTTCCATTTTTGTGAACGATCCCTTTTGTTCGTACATTGTTCGTGCCCGTCTATCCTTACTTCTCCCACCCCACCTCCTGTTCTCCACCCCTAGATATTTATATAAAGAAACTAATTGCGTGCCTCATTTTTCTAGGTCCTTATATACTAAACTAACTACATCATCCTGTTTGTAACCACGCACCTCTGACCCTTTAGTAAAAGTAAGTTCAACCTAAAGTCTGACCGCGTCAACCATGTTGCACCAGCTAGACCTATTGAATGTCTGCTTTATTTACCCAATTTGTCCGGGCGATACAGTACAAACTGGGACTGGAAAGGTTGCCCCGGCTCGGAAATTCAAATGTACTACGGCTACCCGTGTACAGTACATGTACTACCCGTGTAACAGAATATTTTAAATCAACATTTTTAACTCTTATATAAAATCCATTAAAAGTAGTGTAAGAGCCCAAAAAAATTAAAAATAGCAAATATAAAAATCTACATTATATTATAATCTACTATACTAGCTTGGGAACCCAGCGGTGGCCAGGTTCTAAACATTACTCCGCAATTTACTTAGAATCTCAAAACCAGTTTAAGAACATTCCCGCGGGTCTCCCGAGTACTCAAATCAAAGCTTGAGGCAAATCGGACCAAAGGTTCCTGAGTTATGATAGGACAAACAAACAGAAATTACAACTTTATACATATACATATATATAGATATGTATATATAGATAGATATCTCCTGTGGTCAGCATATATATCAATACAAAACTAGTGTACTACAGTGGTGAGCATATATATCAATACAAAATTAGTGTACTCCAGAGGTCAGCATATATATCAATACACAATTAGTGTATTCTAGTGGTCAGCATATATATCAATACAAAATTAGTGTACTCCAGTGGTCAGCATATATATCAATCCAAAATTAGTGTACTCCAGTGGTCAGCATATATATTAATACAACATTAGTGTACTCCAGTGGTCAACAGTTATATCAATACAAAATTGCATCATGAAATTTTAATATAATAGAAATGCTGATATATATTTCAATACATTATCTTTAACTGAAATGGCTACACTGATGAGTGTCAGTGTATCTATACCAATGAATTTTAATGTACTGAAATTGTATCATAGTACCATAATCCAAATTTATTGATATATAGGTCGACTACTGTGGATATATACCCCTGCTCTACTTGATTCTTTTAAAAATAGCCGGGAATTTATCAAAGGAATAAGTCTTTTCACACAAACTATGATTTTCTAATCTTTACAACCCAATGTCATAGACCATTTATATTTCAAACTATGAATCTTGTTAGATCAAAGCGGATGTGCAAAATGACACTTGATAAAAAATCTGGACAATATCTTTTCTTCTGTGCTTCTACGCGTTTTCAAGTCTAAAGATTAAACTCTCTCAAAAAGTTTTCTTTTAATTTGTCAAAATCGTGTTTCCTAAAGTTTATTTATTAAATTAATGTGAAAATTTCGTGGCCATCAGAAAAGTATACTTTATAAATAAAAATATTGCTTTAAATATAAAAACATAGGATTACTCACATATATACTTACATGGTGGCACTCAGATTCACCAGGCAAAAGTACTTTTAAGGCACTTACAAGTGCTTGCTTCAGGGGCGGATACAGGATTTAAGTGAGGGGGGGGGGAGATTTTTTAGGAACAAAAAAATTCATAATTAGGAACAAAAAATCACGCTGCAGGCAAAAGTTTTTTTGACTTAAAAGACTCAAAAAGAGTCAAAATTAATGACCAAAGACTAAAAAACTAGATCTTTAACTTTTCACACATTATAGTTTATAAAGACAGATATTTTTCCTGTTTTGCACTAGGGTTTCTTTCCCTTAAGCACGCTATTGAGAAGCTATTCTGAAAATAGGAACAAAAAATTCCAAATTCAGGGGATGGCGAATGTCCCCCGCCCCCCCTCCTGTATCCACCCCTGGCTTGCTTCATTGCAGAAATGCTAACATCTTTCAGGTAACATTCTTTCTTGAATATTTTCTTTACTTTTTCTTTTCTTTTTGGTTTAAAATACTGGTTAATTTACATGAACATTTTTCATTTTGCAAAAAAAGACTTTTCATACAAACACCCCCCTCCCAGATGTAAGAACTTAAAAGCTTAGATACATGATTGATATATAGTGTATACAGTATATAGTATACAGTACATTGTATAATGTATATATGTAAATGTATGGATGCCAGAAACAGTTAGAAGTTATTGTTCAGACCTTGTCATATTTACACAATTTTATATCTGATATATATATTTTTATATTATATGAATGTATACAGCAAATCGGCGAAATGTGTATGTATGTACTTACGTGACTTTAGTTTTTGTAAAATTTAAAAATAATATTCTTTAGAAAATTTCTTGATGAAAATATCAAGTTAATGCCTAAACCCCCCCCCCTGGCAGAGTATTGACATGAAAATGGTTTGCAGGAAAGGATTATAAGGGAGAAAGATCCATCAAAACAAAATCCAATATTTCCCAGCAATGCTACACACGACAAAAAATCCTCCATGTTTCAATTTTTCTTTTTAGATTTGGCGGATTTTCTCAACATTAAAATATATTTAAAAATCTAGCTAAACATGAAATTAGTTTTTCCTTGTGCAATGTTTTAAAAATTGTCAAGAATTAGGCAAAAAACGACCACATGGGTCTACACAGTTTATACGCAAGGTTGAGCCATATATTTTTATTTCAGTTTCAGAGCTAGCAGGTTATGACTTGCTATGGTATAATAATTACACACATATACATAGAGAATAGAATATATATTAGAGGGGAATTTAAAGAATATCAGTCTCTCGGTATGAATTTTTTCAGTCCCTTTCAGCCTGAAAGGGAGTTCAAAGTGTACAAATCATGTAAATGTTCACAAATTATATGCAGTAGAGTACATTAATACAGTTGTTGACCTTTAAAAAGGTCAGAAAATATACAAATAAAGAAATCAGGAAAAAACCCAAATATTCTATAACATTTATTTAAGAAAAATAATATTGTTTTGAAATATTTGCACATATTGCCAAGTTAAAATTGGTTGATTGAAATTAATAAAGGAAAAGACAAACATCAGCAGCAACTTCATGTTGATTAATAGTGTTGAAAGGATTGGAACAGTTGGAGCTTCATGATGGTCAGCTCACAGGTGTCAGCATCTTGGCAGCAAAGGGTTCACATCTAAGCGACAGTCCTGGAGGGTTTGCAGTCAGTAACATGTGTAGGGAGGAACTTGAATTGCCTCTCAACCCCAGGACATGCGACTGTGGAGGGGGGGGTTTTGCAGTCTGTAACATGTGTAGGGAGGAACTTGAATTGCCTCTCAACCCCGGGACATGCGACTGCTTTGTGGATTTGGACATGATGGACGCTTAGACATTAGCAGCATTTGTTGCTAGAGTAGACATCGGCGGCGGTATGAAGGAGTTAGTAGTTCCAGATCAGAGGTGTTCACATCTCGACATTCTAAAGCTAACTGACGCTGGGGTGAAGTGGGAGCTAGGTTGAGCGGGGATTTGACATGTGGGGCGTGCTTGCTTCATTTCGTGGTTCCTGTGCACACACGCATTTAGAGAATTAACAGAGGCATTTTGGGTCGGTAAAATCGTCTTCCTTATATTTTCGAATTTATGTTAACAACAGTATGTTCCCTAGACTATTCATTTCAATTTCGAATTTTTTAAACTGTTAAATAAACTTTATAATGAATTAGGTGAATAAAAAACATCATTTGATTTATAGTTATAACGGAAAATCATCGTTTGTAAAGTGGAAGGCATAGAGTCTGTGTGATATGATCATTGGTCAATTATGAAACCAGCCTATTTCATAATTTGGTTTTCTTTTATTATTAATTTTAGCATTTCTATAAAATGATGTTCCAGGGCCCAAAAGGTTATATAGCATAAATATGTGAAGTACACCTGCAGTATGGAAACAGTACAACAAAATGGCCGTTTTACACTTTTTTCTAGTAAATTCCCCTCTAATATATATTCTACTCTCTATGCACATATACCTATCTATATGAACCTGGACCTGCCATGTCTCCTCAATTTGAAATTTTAATTCAATCGTATTTGGTTCTTCTTTACAGCAATCATTAAATTTACATGTTGTCTTTTTTTACTTTTTGATTTAAAACTCATCCACGGACACCAAATATGAAATAGTACTTACCTATTTTGTTGGTCTGTTTTTTTTTATAATAAAAAACCTTAGTTTTTTCCTTAAAATTACCAAGATTATAAAGACCATTTTGTATGTCATGCTATAAAACTTATGAGATACACAGCTGTAAAATGATGAATTACTATCGAGACCGTGTCTACACAACCCAAGGTTATAATGCAAGGAAAGTTAATTGCAGTTTCGTATACTCTGCGTACATATTGAAACCAGTTCTCTCTGGGCGGAATTTGTAAACAAGAATAGACGCATCACTGTTCGTTTTGTATCCGAGGAGGTTAAAAGCATGAAATTTTGATAATTTTGATAATTCACATAATGGTTTGCTATGACCAGAATATTTCATTGATTTTTTATGTGAAAGATGGATCCCATGCTAGGCTTCGACATCCGTCTTGTGTTTACATATTACCGCCCAGAGACAGTACATTGCAGTACAAAAGATGCGTACACCTCTGAAATAACTTTCCTTGCACTACAGCCTTGACACAACCAATTTTCGACATGAAATTTCCATGCAAAGTTATCTTTTTAGTTTAATTTTAAAAAGAGTTTGGCAAAATTCTAATCGTTTATTTTTGTATCAGAAATAATGTGAATTAATGAAGATTTCAGGGGTTTAAGTGAAAAAGTATAATTTGATGAACAGAGTCAGGATTCTGCAAAAATCAAATAATTTGCAAAATGGAGTTTTCTAACGTATGCATTAAAAACCAGTCATGGATAAGGAGTACATTAACAGAATTAAAAATTATACAATATATTTCTAATAAACTTTACAATAAATAATCAAACACTATCGTCCATTTGGGTTTGGTTGATCGATAAGTAATTAAACTGTTCGTCATCTAAATCTATAAGTTTTCTTTCATTTGTAAACATCATTCCTGAGAGTTCATTAACTATAACATTTGGTTTGGGCTGAGCACCCACGTGTTCTTGGGTTTGGTTTGGAACCACGGTTGAGGTTTGGTTTGGGTTAGACGGGCCGCCCAGCTGGCCGAAGGCGGGGTTTGGTTTGGTGTGAGAATCCAGCTGAGCAATAGTTTGAAGAATGTCGGGCACTGAGTCACCTTGGGACATTTCCTGGTGTTCCACTGCTTAATAAACCTTCGTAGAATCAGGAATAAGCTGCGACAAATCGCCTCCTGAATACTTATTGGCAGAAGGGGGGGAGGGGTCATACTTCATAAATCAAGTTTTAAATTTTTAAAGACAAAATGTGCTTCCCTAGGGACATTTATATTCTGTATCGTACTCCTGAGAGTATATATATATGTAGAGGAAACTTTTAAACGAACAGAAAGAGTTGAACTCTTTCTTACATGTGGGGGCAGGGGATTAAGTGGTCTCTTACTGCACTTTACCAATTCTAATCTCTTCACAAATAATGAGTTAAATTCACTTCATTTCAAAAGTTTCCAACTTTAAAACTTTCAAGAAAATCAAAACCAACCAAATTTGTTGGAATAACTTTAATTCCCCACCTCGCACACTCAAAGGTTGGAGTTCAGCGTCTGCCTAATTTTAAGATAGCACAAGGGCGTATACAGGGGGGAAGGGGGGCAGTGCCCTTACCTAGACCTGTAAAGGGGGGGAACTCAGAGCTATCACACTTTTCAAATCTGAAACTGAAGAGTGAAGAGTATTAAAAACATTATTCTGCTGTTTTTTTTCTGCTAGTTTTGTTTGATGGAGAGATGAAATAGTCCTTGTATGGTAATTCGATTGTATAGTGATGTATGTGTAGTGTGAACCTTGAAAGTATCCAAGAAGCCAAATGTTTTGAATTTATGGTTCAAATTTTGCCCTCCCCCCATCCCTAAAAGCTCTAGGGGGGGGGGGGGCAAAAAAATATTTTGCTCCCCCCAGATTTATTTCTGTATACGCCCTTGAAACAGATCCTCCCCTATTCTAAAGTTGTAATTAATTAAAAAGAGAAAAGATTTTTTAATTTTTAACTTTCCTGCTGATTTTCAATGGAAAAACAATCTACATTGCTTCCGTCACTTAATTTTTTTCTGCTGCTCATGAAAAAGACAATAAATTTACTTTTTTTGTATAGGTTTTCATAATTAAAAGATTCTAGAAGGTTTTCATAATTGAAAGATTCTAGAAGGTTTTCACAATTAAAAGATTCTAGAAGGTTTTCACAATTAAAAGATTACAGAAGGTTTTCCCAATTAAAAGATTCTAGAAAGTTTTCACAGTTAAAAGATTCTAGAAGGTTTTCACAGTTAAAAGATTCTAGAACGTTTTCACAGTTAAAAGATTCTAGAAGGTTTTCACAATTAAAAGATTCTAGAAGGGTTTTACAAATTAAAAGATTCTAGAAGGTTTTCACAAATTAAAAGATTCTAGAAGGTTTTCACAAATTAAAAGATTCTTGAAGGTTTTTACAAATTAAAAGATTCTAGAAGGTTCCTTGTCGCTTGGCTCGGGATAGGGTTGCGTAGTGAATAGGCCGCGGTATTACTGGAACATTTGCATACTGTAAAACAACAAAAACTTTTTTTTCTATTTTAAAAGAATAGGATTACTACACTTTTGGTAATTCACAACTGTAACCATTAACATTTGTTGGTTCATGGATTAATGAGATTTTCAAGTTTTTTATATAAAAGTGTATTAAGGATTTTTGCAGCAAAATTAATTATGGAAATTGACAGAATTAAACACTTTATAAGACATTTTTTAAATTCTTTCGATGTCTCTGATTGAAACTGTAGAATGACATCTATATCTTCCAGATGATATCTATATGACATCTTTATCTTCCAGATGAGATCTATATGACATCTATATCTTCAAGATGATATCTATATGATATCTATATCTTCCAGATGATATCTATATGACATCTATATCTTACTTATTGATACGCAAATATAGGTTACCGTTGTGAATTATAATTGAATTACATCAAGTTTGTCATGTTTTTTTTCCCTGAACAGCGTCTTCAAATACATTTAGGTTGGATCTTCTTTGTAATAATTCATCTATATCAGCATACTTGAACCTAGATAATTCATATATATCAGCATACTTGAACCTAGACAATTCATCTATATCAGCATACTTGAACCTAGACAATTCATCTATACCAGCATACTTGAACCTAGACAATTCATAAATATCAGCAAACTTAAACCTAGACAATTCATCTATATCAGCATACTTGAACCTAGACAATTCATCTATATCAGCATACTTGAACCTAGACAATTCCTCTATATCAGCATACTTGAACCTAGACAATTCATCTATATCAGCATATTTGACCCTAGACAATTTATCTATATTAAGATACTTGAACCTAGAAAATTCATCTATATCAGAATATTGGAACCTAGACAATTCATCTATATCAGCATACTTGAACATAAACAATTCACCTATATTAAGATACTGGAACCTAGATAATTCATCTATATCTGCATACTTGAACCTAGACAATTCATCTATATTAGCATACTTGAACCTAGACAATTCATCTATATCAGCATACTTGAACCTAGACAATTCATCTATATCAGCATACTTGAACCTAGACAATTCATCTATATTAAGATACTTGAACCCAAGGTTGTATGGCAAGGAAAGTCATTTCAGAAGTGTACACATCTTTAGTACTGCAGTGTACTGTCTCTGGGCGCTAATGTAAACACAAGACAGATGTCGAAGCCTGACATGGGATCCATCATTCACATAAAAAATCAATGAAATATTCTGGTCATAGGAAACTATTATGTGAATTATCAAAATTATCAAAATTTAATGCTTTTAACCTCCTCGGATACTAAACGAACACTGATGCATCTATTATTGTTTACAAATTCCGCCCAGAGCCCGAAATTTAAAAGAGTATCGTTGAACGAAACTCCCGAGCTTCCTTTTTGGGGTCTTAATATTTGTGTAGATTTTGATTTAAGAGATTCGGAAAATGGAGAATATGAAGAAACTAAATAACATATTATTTTATAACAAAAATATTGATATACACAAAACTGTCTAACCCCATACGTGAAACCCGGGTTTTAAAGCTGGTTTTCATAACGATACCCTGTCTTAAGTTTTGGGCTCAGAGAGAACTGGTTTCAATATGTACACAGAGTATACACAACCGCAATTAACTTTCCTTGCCTTACATTCTTGCTTGAACCCAGATATTTTATACTTTTTATTATTATTTTCCTACTTTAAAAGTTCAGACTTGAACCTAAAAGCAAAACTTAACGATTAAGAAAAACTTCTGACTTGCTAAGAAGTTTGTAAGGTTTTGGACCTCAGAATTAAAAAAAAAGTTACATACAAAAGTTAAATTTTTTAATTAAAAAATTAAGATTTTCGGAAATTGAAATGATTTAGTTTTTTTGCAATAGAAGTGTGCATAAAATCAATCTCATCAAAGCCAACCGTTAGAATTTATTAGAAAAATTGTAAATGTATTTGTTTTACCTAAGATTTCCATTTTGCATTCTTGGCATTGAATTGAACTGCTTCCTGCAACAACTCGAACTGTAGTGGCGTCGTTCCATCGAACAGTTCGAGTTTTTGGGAGAGGAGGTTCGAGTCTCAGCACTAGAGGTAGGGGAGCTCGAGGGACTAAAAATAAACAAAATGTTAAATCATAACAATTTCCTTCTTTTTCTCTGATACAGTAATCCGCAAGACACTTTAAAAAGAACCAAGAATGAAAATAAATAGAAGACCTTAGAATCAAGGCACTTAAAACAAAAATGATAAGTAAATTAACTGTTTTATTAGGGTTGTTAATCGTTTTAAAAACGATCGAAATAACAATCACTTTTCGTTTCGTTTTCATTTAGTTCTTAAACGATCGTTTTGTTTTTTAGAAAATTTTTTTTTTTTTATAACGAACCATTCGTTTTGAACTTTAAGAAAACGAAAAATGTTATTTTTTTAAACGATCGTTTCATTGTTCTTTTTTCTTCCTCGTTTTCAAAACAAAAAGATAGTTTTTCAAAAAAAAAGTGTCCAAACCTTCATGCAGTCCCTTCAAGGACTTGAAGTAAAGAGGCTGTTTAAGATTTTAAATTACAGTTTATTGTCTAGTTGTGTTGTGTTAGATGAGAGTTTTAAGTATTCCTTAGTTCAAGAACAGAATTTAAATTAGGGTTATTTTATACCAGAAGTTACCTGTACCTGTACCTTGTACCTGTACCTGTACCTGTACCTGTACCTGTACCTGTATCTGTACCTGTACCTAAGATGAAATGTAGAGAACTTGTTATTATGATTGTTTTCAAGTTGAACCGGTTCCTGTCCAGGAGCCTGGTGGTTGTGTTCATGCTGGTTCTCTGTGAACCGGATAATTAAAAAAATTTCTCACGAAAAAATAGTTTAAAGTTGATCAAATCAAACATTATTCTGTACACCAGGTAATTTTGAATCTTAGACCTAGAAAATTATTTTCTTTTTCTGTTTGTCTCTCCGACTTAAAGAGACTTAAAGAGACTTAAAGAGACTTAAAGAGACTTAAGAAGACTTAAAGAGATCCGTTATTTCAAGAATGTCATTTTCGTTCACAACTGAAACCTAATTATGAGCTTTGTCTGTGTCCAGAATGAATGAGATATTCATGAAATTTATTCTTGTTAAAAATTGATTATTATTAACTGTGGTTTCTCTATCATTGATCAGTTAAATGTTTCAATATAAAACGATATTTGAAAATTCATTAAAATCAATTCACAAAAAGATGTTTAATTAGTTAAAAGTTAGTGTGAGTGAATAACCCCTGTTTAAAATTAGATTAAAGCTAAAACCAAATTCAGAAGTTTTTATTGAGATATTTATTTACGATGGTGAGTCGAATACGAAATAGAAATAATTCAAATTATTTTCCTAAAAGAGGCTTTTCCACAAATATATTTTCTTGCTGGGCGTATTCCATCTTTCTTACCCTATAAATAATAATAATAATAATAATAATAATATCAATAACGATAATAATAATAATAAAATTAATAATAATAATAAAATTAATAATAATAATAATAATAATAATAAAATTGATTATAAACATAATAATAATACCATCGTTTGAAGGTAATAATAGCTGCTAGAACTGATATTCCAAAAATGACAGCTGCTAGAAGGCTGAGTAGTGTTATAGTCATATAGCTGGGAGAATTCTTATCATTTCTCTCCTAGTTTAAGAATAGTATTTAGGGGCGCATGAGGGGGGGGGGGGTGCACATGCCTCCAAGTCAGAGACTGCAAGAAATGTGCTTTTTGAGCCAACACTTATTAAATCAATATTTGAAATTAAATTTCGAACGTAAAGGTGGTCGAGAACTTGAGAGGATTGAAATCTGGAGGAAATAAACATCTTTGAAAGTTTGAACCCATTTATATTTTAAACTTTAGCCACCAGTCATTAAAAAAACTATATGTAAAAAGAGACACAATTACTAAAATAATACTAGGGGAAGTTTTCTAAATCTTAACATTTTTATGGACTCTTTGCAAAATAAGTATACTGTGCGGCATTCATTAAATAAGTAAAAAAACAGTACTGTACTATTCATCTACTGTACTGTTTATCTACAGTACTGCTCATGTACTGTACTGCTCATCTACAGTTCTGATCATGTACAGTACTGCTCATCTATTGTACTGCTCATCTACTGTTTTGTTTATTTTCTTCCCATAAACTGCAGTACATTTTCAATGTAAACAAAGAGATTTTTTTTAACACCGAATTTTTGTACATTTTTTTTTTACCTTAATCCAAATGGTATTTATAGGATTACTGTTCTTGGGTTGAATAGGAACACAACTGAAGGTTACAGCAGACCAAGCTCCTGTGTCCTACAAACAAAATAAAATTTAAATTTTTTTCACGCATCTCCAAACAAAAGATGATATTTTTTGACCTAGCCCAAACAAAAATTCATATTTTTTCTCTCGTTCTAAAATAAAATTTATAATTTTTTAAAATATTCCAGCAAACATTTATATTTTTTTTCACTCATCGCCAAATGAAAATTCATAATTTTTCACTAATCCATAAAAAAAATCTATATTTTTTCACACATCTTTAAAGACCAACAAAAACTAAATTTTACATTTATTGAGTGGGGTTGAATTCTGGAGGAACTAAACGTCTTTGCACTCTTTTAGCACTTACATACATTAACTATTATTTTGGAAAGTTTAGCCACCCGACGTTTCAGAGAAAATTAAATGGTAAATAGTAAATGGTAAATGGTAAATGGTAAATGGTAAATGGTAAATGTTAAATGGTAAATGGTAAATGGTAAATGGTAAATGGTAAATGGTAAATGGTAAATGGTAAATGGTGAATGGTAAATGGAAAATGGTAAATGGTAAATGGTACATGGTACATGGTACATGGTAAATGGTAAATGGTAAATGGTAAATGGTAAATGGTAAATGGTAAATGGTAAATTGTAAATGGTAAATGGTAAATGGTAAATAGTAAATGGTAAATGGTAAATGGTAAATGGTAAATGGTAAATGGTAAATGGTAAATGGTGAATGGTAAATGGTAAATGGTAAATGATAAATGGTAAATGGTAAATGGTAAATGGTAAATGGTAAATGGTGAATGGTAAATGGTAAATGGTAAATGGTAAATGGTAAATGGTGAATGGTAAATGGTAAATGGTAAATGGTAAATGGTAAGGGACAAAAAAATACTAAAATAATAAAAAAATACCTGGCAGGCACTTTCACGTACATTGGTTATCCCTAAAAAAATGTTTTTAATTGTAAATAATTCATCTACGTTGAATTTTCTGTTATTTGTATTGACTACATGTGATTCTATTGTAGGCGATTATAGCAAAATAATGAAGACGACTTTTTTATTTAAGTTTTAATTGTTTACAAGCTTTTTCAATAATATCAGGTTTACAAGCAATTAAATAAGCTTTTTTAATTATTAGCTTCTCTCTGATTTCATGTTTTTTGTGTATCCATGCTGTTTAAAAGCTTGGTATAAATAATGATTAAAGTCGAGAGTCGTCTTCATTGTATTGATAAAATCGCATACTACTGTACAACATTTTTTATTTAAGAAATTCGAAAGTTACATCTTATTTTTTTAGTGCTTGAACTATCTTGTGCTTTTTCCCATTTGACTTTTGTTTTCATTGATATTTTAATTTTTGAAAACAGGAAAGAAAATATTATTCTCTGAACTGAATCGAATTCTGAATTAAATTGAGCCGGAATAAAATTAAGATTTCCTTTTTCCTTTTCTGTAATCTTTTTACATATTTCATAAAGTCTTCTCAAACACTGGAGCTGGTGGTAAATAGACGGAGAGAAATGTGAACACAATAAAAACCTTTAAAATCTACCCTCAACTGAGATTCCCTGAACCCTATTAAGGCTGTAGGTCTAAATTTATGCATAGCCTCGGGGGGGGGGGGGGGGCACCCCCCAGGGGGGCGCTTGGCGCCCACTCCCTAGTAATGTATGTTTATAGCCCAATTTTTCATGGTCAACTCAAAGAAAAAAAATAGACCGATAACTTTAAAAGTCTGGGTGCTAGGGAGGGTGGAAAAAATGCCTAAATAAGGGAAAAAAATGAAAAAATATTTAAATAAAAAATATCAAAGTGTGACACATGTTTCTGCATGCATTTTTCAAAGGGCTTTTCAAAAATATAGTTTTTAAATCTGTCACAAAAAAATTATGGTCTATTTTAGATATTTTTTTCACAGACCGGACTTTTTTTCCGCCCTGTAACCTATCCTATAAATTAGAAAAAAAATATTTTTAACAAAAAAACCTTTAAGCTCCTATTCATTAAAAGTCACACAATTTCACGTTGATAGTGTCAAAAATCAGAGTACTAGGACAAAAAAAAACTACGGGGGTTGGGCAACAAACGCCCCCCCCCCCCAGCCTGTTTAGGGTTAAAGGGAAGACCAACCTAATTTAAATAAGATAAATTACCCACCATAAAATAAGATTGACAATGGTTTAAATCTTCATAAAAGCAAAAATATGTTCTTTCACAAATTGACAAATTTAAGGAATTGAATTGTTGCCACAAATTCAAACTTTCTTATCTCTTTATATTCTTGCAACCTGAGGTTTTCAGCCTTTGATATTTCAAACTTAGATTACTTAATCTAACAGATACATATTTTGGAATACCCAAGGTCTACGACATTGGGTTGCAAATATTTAGGGATTAGAAAATCTATGTTTGTGGCAAAGACTTAATTCCTTTCTTTAATTTCGAAAAAAAGACCTCCCGCATCTTTATCCAATTCCAGAATAAAACGCCTCACCCATCTCTGTCCAATTCCAGAATAAAACACCTCCCGTATCTCTATCCAATTCCAGAATAAAACACCTCCCCCATTTCTATCCAATTCCAGAATTAAACACCTTCCGCATCTCTATCCAATTCCAGAATAAAACACCTCCCGCATCTCTATCCAATTCCAGAATAAAACACCTCCCGCATCTCTATCCAATTCCAGAATAAAACACCTCCCGCATCTCTATCCAATTCCAGAATAAAACACCTCCCGCATCTCTATCCAATTCCAGAATAAAACACCTCCCGCATCTCTATCCAATTCCAGAATAAAACACCTCCCGCATCTCTATCCAATTCCAGAATAAAACACCTCCCGCATCTCTATCCAATTCCAGAATAAAACACCTCCCGCATCTCTATCCAATTCCAGAATAAAACACCTCCCGCATCTCTATCCAATTCCAGAATAAAACACCTCCCGCATCTCTATCCAATTCCAGAATAAAACACCTCCCGCATCTCTATCCAATTCCAGAATAAAACACCTCCCGCATCTCTATCCAATTCCAGAATAAAACACCTCCCGCATCTCTATCCAATTCCAGAATAAAACACCTCCCGCATCTCTATCCAATTCCAGAATAAAACACCTCCCGCATCTCTATCCAATTCCAGAATAAAACACCTCCCGCNTTTGTAACCTAATTACGTAAACCTTTGATATTTCAACTTTTTAACCTAATTACGTAAACCTTTGATATTTCAACTTTTTAACCTAATTACATAAACCTTTGATATTTCAACTTTGTAACCTTATTACGTAAACCTTTTATATTTCAATTTTGTAACCTAATTACGTAAACCTTTGATATTTAAACTTTGTAACTTAATTACGTAAACCTTTGATATTTCAACTTTGTAACCTAATTACGTAATCCTTTGATATTTCAACTTTGTAAACTAACTATGTAAACCTTTGGTATTTTAACTTTTTCTTGATTGTTTTTCCATGTTAATGTTACCCACATTAAGGGTGAGACTTCAGAGACGACTTTTGTCTTTCCTTCTTTGATAAATCATTATTTATTAAGCCATGGGAACAGTAATCCAAGCCAACAAGACTTAATTTTACCTTTACTATCTTAATAGTTTCAAGTCGTCTTTACAGTCTCATCCTTTGTGGGTAACCCTGAATATCCAAACATTCGTCAAGGTTTATACCATGGAGCAGGTTAAAAGGGATTAGAAAATTATAATTTAAGGCGATTAACTATATAATTTATATATTACCGTCCATAAACTGGTATCCAGGTAGACAGGAATACTGGGCGATAGATCGCCACTGTGCTGACCCATTTAACAGTGCAACCGCCGATTTCGGGAGCATCGGCGGTTCCCCACAGGAAATCGGCCGACAGGTAGGCGGATGGCCGGTCCATTCTCCTGAAGAAACATATTTGTTTTTCATTAAATAATTTCGTCACAGTATCTTTGTTAGACGCCATCGATACTTAATAAAAAAGTTGATTTGCTTTGATAAACCATATGAGTGAAGAATGTAAACCTAAAAAGATGGCAATTTAGATAAGAAAAAGAAGAATGAATTAGATAAGAAGAAGAAGAATGAATTAGATAAGAAGAAGAAGAATGAATTAGATAAGAAGAAGAAGAATGAATTATATAAGAAGAAGATGAATGAATTAGATAAGAAGAAGAAGAATGAAATAAACACATTTCTAGACAAAAAAACGACGATATCTTCCACATTTGATTAGATTAAGGTTTCCAAGGAACCTTTGAAAATCGAGCACTGTCATTTTTGCATGTAGGGTCACTTGAAATTACGCTTACAGGCCCAATAATGGTACTTTACTGAAAGTGCGTTCCACGGAAATAAAGTTGAAAGTTCCTGACGTGTATAACTCTTCTCTGTTATACAAATAAATAATTCCTCTTACAATTTGTATTTATTTTCTGCCCCCCCCCCCTTTTATTTATGCCTACCCTTTCCTCCCCTATTAATCCTCGATAATGAGCCTACAGCAAACACCGTGTTCACTGTTCACTCAATTAAAAATAAGAATTAAAAAGAAATATAAAAACCTTTATTAATCAAATTTATTTACCCTGGAAAGGGTCATAATATTATTAAGAAAAACTCCCAGCTTAACAAAAGAGTGCCATCCATGATTCACAATTTCATTATTTACATATTCACATCACATATTTATTGGTGGCGCTTTAAAAAAAAGATATTACGATTCAAGCATGGATTCAAGAATTTTAGTTCCGTTCCTTTATCTTTATAAATTTAAAGAATAGAGCAGAATTGATTGCAAAAAGTGAGAATATGATTTTACAGAGTTTTGAAGATATTTATAAAAACCGGTTTTTACAAGACTAAAAGTAAATTGACAAACTTAAAACTGGTCTCACATACCAAATTAGTTCTTTTGCAGGCTTCCTATATAACTGGAAAATTTTATCAAAATCTACAAAATATGTTTGTTTAAAGCAAAATAGTATGTTTATCTGTTGTCCTCTACCCTTAACTACATTCGAATGACTGGAAAAAATACGAAATATTTGAATTGTAATACTTAACCGTATTCTTGCTGGGGGGGGGGGGTCAATTTTCAGCATATCCTGGTTTTCAAGTACCCCTGCAGAGATAGGGTTAACGGATCAGAGACCGAACTTCAAGAATTTGAGCTGGGTCGCTGAGATACCCACTGCCGCTGCACGGGTAGCCGTAGTACATTTTAATTGTAATACTTAACGGATCAGAGACCGAACTTAAAGAATTTGAGCTGCCTCGCTGAGATACCCACTGCCGCTGCACGGACAGCCGTAGTACATTTGAATTTCCGAGCCAGGTCAACCGTTCCGGCCCTAGTTTGTACTGTTTCGCCCGGACATAGGGGAAATTAAGCAGACACTCAATATGAATTTACTTTACTAAAGGGCCAGAGGTGGGTGGCCGGTATTGAAGGATTTAAATCAGTGATTTAAATTTAAAATTGCAGTAGATGGTTAAGCCAGGTCTAGACCTGGTTCAAATTCTTTAAATTCGGTCTTAGTTATATTGAATAATTTACGGTTTGAGAGATATTATGCAACTTCTTGACTTTATACGGCCTCTCTGTTCTTAACATTAAGCGTTTTCAAACAAACGCTATAGATAGAAGTAAAATTAGTAGTAGCGAATTTGATTCGGATTCAGCCTACACCCCCCTTTCATTTTTCGTGAACGCTCTGTTCAATGAAATTCTTTGCTTACGAAAATGAAAAAATAAGAGAACTCTAGTTCCATGTTCTGAATGTAAGATTTTTTTTATAAATTTAATTTTATGTGAGGACACTTCTCCATTCTATACATTACCCGCAGTTCCCTAGTGAGGTTACGGGGCACATAGATAGATAGATAGTTAGATAGATAGATAGATAGATAGATAGATAGATAGATAGATAGATAGATAGATAGATAGATAGATAGATAGATAGATAGATAGATAGATAGATAGATAAACATATAGATGGATAAATAGATAAATAGATAGATGGAATAACAAAATTCTAATTGTTAGCTGAGATTTTTAAGAATAAAGTATCAAGACTGTGAAATTTGCAGTAACATCGATTGTTTAAAATTAGAAAGCCTATTTTAACCTTCAAAGATAGTCTTTGAGCAGTGAGTTTAACATTAAACTTTTTTAATGTATCATGTGCATTTTTAAATAGGTGAAAATCTATTATTAAGAATTTTTTTATTTATTTTTGAAAAAAAGAAGATTTTTTTACCTGACTCATCACAAACTCGTGTAGAATTTCCCCACAATATGTATCCTGTAAATTTACATTTTGTTATTTAAGTCAATGATTATGGGACTATCGTGCAGTTTTGTCTCAGAAAAAGGTTGTTTTGGAGTCTTTCTAATCCGTCCTACCAGGAGTCTTTCTAATCCGTCCTACCAGCAGTCTTTCTAATCCGTCCTACTAGGAGTCGTTCTAATCCGTTCTACCAGGAGTCTTTCTAATCCGTCCTACCAGGAGTCTTTCTAATCCGTCCTACCAGGAGTCTTTCTAATCCGTTCTACCAGGAGTCTTTCTAATCCGTCCTACCAGGAGTCGTTCTAATCCGTTCTACCAGGAGTCTTTCTAATCCGTCCTTCCAGTAGTCTTTCTAATCCGCTATACCAGGAGTCTTTCTAATCCGTCCAATATACCAGGAGTCTTTCTAATCCGTTCTACCAGGAGTGAAGTCTTTCTAATCCGTTCTGCTATAAGTCTTTTTAATCCGTTATACCAGGAGTCTTTCTAATCCGTCCTTCCAGGAGTCTTTCTAATCCTTTCTACCAGGGGTATTTCTAATTCTTTCTTCCAGGAGTCTTTCTAATTCTTTCTACCAGGAGTCTTTTTAATCCGTTCTTCCAGGAGTCTTTCTAACCCGTTATACCAGGAGTCTTTCTAATCCGTCCTATATACCAGGAGTCTTTCTCATCCGTTCAACCAGGGGAAGGTATTTCTAATTCTTTCTTCCAGGAGTCTTTCTAATTCTTTCTACCAGAAGTCTTTCTAATCCGTTCTTCCAGGAGTCTTGCTAATTCTTTCTTCCAGGAGTCTTTCTAATCCGTTCTACCATGTCCATTATTCCGCCTTTACATCCATCCTACCAAGTCTTGATCAAAATATGACAGAAAATACAGAGATAACCAGAAAATTGTAAAATAGGAAGACGACATTAAAGCAGCACTAAAGTGTATTTGATGTTGTTACAAAGCAAATAGCTTTAATAGTTTAAGTTTTCAAATCAATTACAGTTTATCCTAGAACTTCGGAGCCATCGAAAGAATTTATAAAATGTAGTATTGACAACTAAACAACTAAATATCTGCATACACCATTCCATTATCAGCAAGTTAAAAATAAGACATTTTATAAATTCCTTCGAGGTCTCCGAAATTCCTGCATATTAAAGGAGTTGGGCGGGGCTGTTTAGTGTTTACATTACACAGTTGCTGTATACCTCATGTTCATTGGACTACTTTTAGTCAAAACTTGAGTTTAAAAGTCGACTTCATATTCCAGAGTTTTCTGGTTCTCACTGTATTTAAATACAGACAGGAGGTGCATGTATTTAGTTTAACCTACCTGGGTTACAATGGTATTTAGCTCTGCTCCCATAAACATAGTTTCCTCTGAAGTTAGAAACTTCAATAAATCCATCCTTAGCAGAGGTTGGATGATCGCAACTTAACTCTAAAAAAAGAAAATAAAAACACATTCTAATTTTCTACTTCCTATATTTTTGCAACCTGATCTCCGACTTATTCAGATCTTTTTAATTCTTCTTCAATATCCCGTGATGGGTATTCCCTGCAGGGATAGAGCATTGCTCCTTAAATTTAAGTGTGCTCACATATCCAACGCCGGCGATTTAAACAATTCAAGAAAATACGGCTCAGCTCTAAGCTGTCGTCGGACCTTATTTACGGCTTGAGCTTTCAGAGATTCTGACTGCATCTTATTTTTCACAGAGTTGAGTTAAAAAAAAAACGATTTTAATATTCTATTTTGCGGATTTTCATGGCAGTAATTGGCGCATTCCGGGTTTTTATGAGAACAAGACGCAACATCGAGCCTTTATCTCCAATAAAACCAACCAAGGTCGATATTATTTATATCTTTGTGTGTGAATAAATCTTTATAATAAAAATAATAATTGTTGACTCTGTTTTTTCTTTTAATTAAGAAATATCGTTAAGGATGTTGTACTTTGTAATTTTATTGTAAAAAAATTAAGTTTTAAAATTCAGAATTCTTTGCGGCATTTTGTAAAAAAAATGATATATGTCAATACTTCCACTGTTCCTTCCTCTTGTAAAAGACTTTCAGACATGCATTGTTTGAAGACTAGATGTAAAGCCTAGAAATTGTCCCAAACAATGAAAAATATTGTTCATCTGGACTACTTGACATTACTTTGGTTCTTTAGAACTATTTGTCTTTTTAATAAACACAATAACTCTGGTGGTTTTTAGTTTTTTCAATTGATAAAAAATAAATAATACTTTGAAAACAATCATTAAATTAATTTTGTAAATTAAACAATAGATTTTAATTCAGAGAATTTAAATTATGTTGAAAACAGATGTTCCATTGTGTGAGTATGTGAGAAAAGCAAATCTAAATGGTTACATGTTATAATTTCAAACCAATCTTGTTCTTGTAAAAAACGCTTCTACGTTGATTTAACGTGGGGGACAGGAAAGAATATAGTTTTATTAAAACCGTAACACAGACTGCAAACTGAGATCAGACGGCCTAGCTTATAGTTTTCACTAATTATTGTTTATTTACAAAAAAAAAAACAGTTTCTTGGCAATCCTAATACGGCACTGTTAAATTTAAACCAACCCAGCCCTTTAAAGGGTCTGTAGACATAATTTTGTGTGACCCTCCATTTCTGGAGTGCACATGTCTGCTAAAGATTTATGAGCTATCCATGATTTCTCTTTGAAAAATCGGTTATTTTCAATTGCTATTTGCGGATTATTTACAACAGACACAATGAATGGATTTTACACATTTTAAGCGAGAAAAACGAAGATATCTTTTAGGAGAGAAATGTTTAAAGGGTACCGTGGAGAACGGGCCAAGCACAGCACCGACATTTTTTTAAAATAGATAATATTTATTTGATCACCTGAGCAAGTTGGGATCTGTCCCTGCCACCCCTCCTTGCTACAGTTTAGAATACCCCTACCAGGGGGGGTTAGTGTGAATCCAGGGGCGCAGGAGTACTCGGCCTGAGAGGGGGTCAGAGAAAATAGTTGGGAATTCAGGGGCAACTCAGGGGACCCACAGTCCTCAACTTCTAAATACAAAATAAATTATAACAAAAATGACAAAGTTAAAAAAGTTAGGTTGTAGTAAAATAAGTTTTCCATGAGTAGTTATTTACGTCTAAAACTTTTGTCGGTATAAATTTGATGCAAATCACGTTGTAATAATGATTTATTGTTAATCCAAAAAAGAAACAAAAATGTGTAATTTAATTTAAAAAGAAACTTATGCACACAAAGTTCCGCGTAGAATAATTCTCCTTTTTTTTAACATTTTCTTAAATAATAAATAATGAATCAATCTTTTTATGGAATGTATCGTAAAATATTCACTTTATTCTTCAAACATTATTAAAAATGAGTTTGATTCAAACACTGGTTTGTTGTGCGAAATTATCACGAGAATAAAAAACTTGCAAAACTGCGCTGCTTTTATTGTGTGATTATATTTTGCACACTTGCGTTTACATTTATCTAATGTTTACTCTTATTATTCAAATACAAGATAAAGGGACTGTAAACGTAATTTTAAATGACTCTCAGTTTGTAAGACGGCATGTCGGACTTTCAGTTTGTAAGACGGCATGTCAGATTCTCAGTTTGAAAGACGGCATGTCGGATTCACAGTTTGTAAGACGGCATGTCAGATTCTCTGTTTGAAAGACGGCATGTCAGATTCTCAGTTTGTAAGACGACATGTCAGATTCACAGTTTGAAAGACGGAATGTCAGATTCTCAGTTTTAAAGGCGGAATGTCAGATTCTCAGTTTGTAAGACGGCATGTCGGATTCTCAGTTTGTAAGACGGCATGTCAGATTCTCAGTTTGTGAGACGACATGTCAGATTCTCAGTTTGAAAGACGGAATGTCAGATTCTCAGTTTTAAAGACAGAATGTCAGATTCTCAGTTTGTAAGACGGCATGTCGGATTCTCAGTTTGCAAGACGGCATGTCAGATTCTCAGTTTGTAAGACGACGGCATGTCAGATCCTCAGTTTGTAATACGGCATGTCAGATTCTCAGTTTGTAAGACGGCGTGTCAGATTCTCTGTTTGAAAGACGGCATGTCAGATTCTCTGTTTGAAAGACGGCATGTCAGATTCTCAGTTTGTAAGACGGCATGTCAGATTCTCAGTTTGTAAGACGGCATGTCAGATTCTCAGTTTGTAAGACGGCATGTCGGATTCATAATGGTATCCTGAAAACCTTTGTCTGAAAAAGACTGCATGAGATGTCCAACATCCTCCTTTTGAAAAAAAGATAATTTTACATTTTTTCTCTGTATAGAGACTTCCGCTTTTCTGCTTGGAAACAATGGAGAAAATTTTCAGAGTTTTACACTTTCATATCATAAAGCTCTTCGCTCGTATATATTTGTATGATATATATGTTAGCTATAGCTGGCCAAACTGCTGGACCGAATTGGTTGAACCCTTGAGTACCCCGGGGGGGGGGGGGGGAGAGCATTGGATTTTTTTTCAAAAATCATTTTTTTCTTTCAAAATTTGATTTAAAAATTCCACGAGCAACGCCGGGTACTTCAGCTAGACTGGATTCTCTCATATTATTGAATCAGTGTGAATCGGACTAACTCTTTTTAAAATGAAAGGTCACTTGAATACTTGTATCGACCGGATATATCAGGATTGGAATCTGACATCTAATCCAGCTTTGTATCTCTAATGTTTACTTTTTTACTCTAAAAATATGTTCAGACAGTTTGTATGCTGAACAAACAATGTTTATTGTTAAATAAATTGAAAATGGATAAAAAATTTTTTTGGCCAAAAATTGCGCAAAAATGACCAGAAATTCAGTGGAACCCCAAATACTACAAATAGAAGAATGCTTTATGGTTTATGATTATGATTTCGCGGGCAGCCGTCGTACATTTGAATTTCCGAGCCGGGTCAACCTTTCCGGTCCAAGTTTGTATTGTATCGCCCGGACATACTTAAGTGTATTTTATGTTGTTATAGCGAATAGTTTTACACAAACTTATTAAATCATAAAAGTCGTCTTCCTTTTACAGAGTTTTCTGGTTATCATTGTATCCTGTTTCTTTCAATTTTAATTTTTTAACTTTAAAAAGTTCACGATATGGTTACTTAATAATCGAAATTATGTAGATATGGGTTTCGTTTAAATTTCACTTTAATAAAATTACATAGTTTAAAAGATCAGATTCCAGGATTTTAAATCTATTTTGAAACTTTGAACTCAAAATGACGGCAATCATTGCAAGCTAAGGAGGGTTGGCGCATGTATGCCGAGTCCATTAAGGCGCATGATCCAATCAGGGTTCAGTCATGTGTTTGTTGTCTATTCTGAACCAATAGCAATAGTATGGCGGTAACATCTATCTATCTATCTCATTATCCAATCAGAGTTATGAATCCTTATATCGGCGCTATCAGTAAATAGACATATTTACTTCTACTGAAACTATGNGGGGCGGGGGGATTAGGATGAAATCCAAAGAGAATGCCAAGCAACCTTTTTTGTAAAATTCGTTTATTATGTTAAAATACCAAAAAAAAATAATAAAGATCAATTGTTATACAATAAATTCTTTGACCTGCTTGTCTTTAGGTCTATCAATAAAAAAAAAAATATAAAAAGTTTCACTGAAATACCCGTTATATAAGAAGATTGGAGTCTAATTATTTAATTTTGTAAAACTTGGCTTTGAAATCTGCTGAACCACTGTTTAGAGCTTGTAATTATCAAATTTATTTACAGAATTATCAAATAGAAATAATAGAAGCGCGCACTTTTGAATTTCTAATTAAAGTATGTTTAAATGGGACTGTAAGCGTAATTTTGAGTGACCCTCCATGCAAATATGGCAATGCCCAATTTACATTGGTACCATTAAAACCTTAATCTGATAAAAAAGTGGAAGACGATGTTGTTTTTTTTTTAACTCGAAAAGTATTTAATTCCGTTGATTTCTCCATTGCTTACAATAAGCAAGAAATTGGCTAGTTACTTTCACATAGAAAACGCAAATGAAAGTATCTAGTTTAAAGAAAGAAAAGCATGGATATCTAGTTCATACTTGATCAGACAAAGCTTTTAATCCGGTACCGTTGTAAATCGGACATTGCAATCTTTGCATGGAGGGCCACTTGAAATTACGCTTACAGTCACTTTAAAGAAGGTTTCAAAGCATATTTTACTCACCTCGCGCTTGAAAACTTTAAATTACGCTTACAGTCCCTTTAAAGAAGGTTTCAAAGCATATTTTACTCACCTCGCGCTTGAAAAACTTACGCATACAGTCCCTTTAAAGAAGGTTTCAAAAGTGTATTTTACTCACCTTGCGCTTGAAAAACTTGAATTTCACAAAGTCCAAAGTATTCTGTATCCATTCTATCATCCCTAAATATGCAATCTTTAAATTAAATAAAAGGTCAAATTTATTTTTTTTGGTATGGCTTTAAGACCTCGTAGCTCCTTGGTTTTACACCAAGTATTTGATTTTATGCCAGATAAAAATTTTCTAATTCATATACATTTGCAACCTGATGGTGTTAACCTTAGATTATTTGATCTAACATAATTCACAGATTGAAATTTATAAGGCCTACAACATTTGGTTGCAAAAGATATTAGAATTCGAAAATAAATGTTTGTAGCACAGGCTCGTTTCTTTTATCTGTTTACGTTACATATCATAAATTCAAATCTATTTTCTTTTTTTCAATATTTATTCAATAATTATGATTGAAAACATATAAGATTTAAAACTTTCAGGAAAGGAGTCATGGGTCTTTGTTATAAACTTTGCTTATTTCAATCCTATAACTTTGCAACCCAACCTGAGATATTTCAATAAATAATCTAAGTTTGAAATATCAAAGGTTTACACAATTAGGTTGCAAAGATATAGGGAATTGAAAAATTTAGTTTGTGGAAAGATTTATTTTTTTCACTTCAGTTTGAGACGATTTTGATGTTTATAAATATATGTTTTTCAGATTTAAATATGTAATTACATGTTTATAAATAAATTACATCTTTAAACATTTAATCTTTGGATTAAATTTGAAAATAATTTAATGTTTTTTATATTTAGTGTTTCTTAATATATTAAATCCATCATATTATCCCTAAACTTTCATCTTTGAATTGAAGATTATAAAATGCTCATTTCTTTAAGTAATGTAGGCTTAATGCTAATACTAGGGGGAAATTTTTAAATCTTTAAAAGATATTAAATTATTGATTTTTTGTTTTTTTATACATAATTATATGATTTTATAAAAGCTAGAAAATTTTGTAATTTCTAACAGAAATATCTGTATTTACACATAAATGTTTTTTATACAAGTATTCAACAGATCTAAATGACAGGAATAATATAAAAAAAATATTTGTTTTGGCTTAACAACTGAATATACAATCATTGTATTCGTACAATAAACACATTGATTCAGATATCAAATTCTAGGAAAATCCTGCTGTGTTTGCTTAAACTGGAATAAATTAAATAGAACATGATTTTGATTTAAATAAAAGTACGTTTTATTTAATCATTCTTCGATTTTATGATAATGAATTGTAATTTTAAGTATTATTTTTTAAGTATCTAGCTCTAGGACTAAAAAGTGCCATAAAATATTTTTAAGTAAATTGAATTTTTATGTCGTGATTTTAGGGATCAACCAACGATCTCAATATTATGCAGAGCTACGGGTTCAGTTAATTGGTCAAATCCTGCAGGGACAACTCAACTGAAGGGATCGAGCACTGCTCTTTAAATTAAAAAAACCCCACATTGGAGATTAAGCGAGATTAAGCGTTTTAGATTAACAATACTATACGCGAGCTCATGTGTCTTACGATGGTACATCTATCAAAGTGTTTCCGAAAAAAAAATTCGTTCATTACTTAATTTTATGTTATTTAAAAATTCTGCGTTTTTGAAATATTTCAAAAAAAAACTTCTTGATTTGCAAATACATGAAAAAATAAAAGATACCCTTGTAAACCGTTAGTTGTATGTTTTCAATATATTAAATTTTATTTTATTTTTATCAAACAAACGCTAGAATTTTTTTCTTGTTTTGGAATTTTTAGAATATAAAAGTTACCTGATATAAACAAACTGTCCCTTTTGACCTTCATTCACGCACTCGAACTCTTTTCTGAATTTCGAATGTTATTAATAAAAATAATAAAAAATGAAAAACATCAAAAAATGAAAAAAGTTTTTAATTTTTCCATAGGTTAAGGATTTTAGTTTGTGTATGGGCCAGACAAGGATGGTAGAAAATAAGGATAAACAATTCAAATTTTACTCCAAAGCATCCAAACCATTACTCTCTAATGCTTTTTGTTTTGATTCAATGTGGCTGATTTAAATAAAAATAAACAATATCTATAACTATTTTCTTCAAGTTTTTTCTCAATATTTTGATTTTAAAAATGTGTAAAAATGTTTAGTTATGTAAATAGGGTATTATCAATGTACATTATTAAAGATATATTTCGAACAAAAAGTATAAATAAATTTAATATAGTGAAGTTAAAGAATAATTTTGAACAATAACATTGCATAGCGTTCATAAAACTTTCTTTTAACTAGCGACAAAGGGGGGGGGGCGTTTGTCGCCCCCCCTCCAAGAAAAATGCCTTAGAGAATATAGGCCTTAGAGGTATAGGGTTGAAATGCATGTTCATGGCCCAAATTTTCATGGCCAGCTCCAAGAAAAAAAAAGTAGACCGATAACTTGGTGCTAGGGAGGGTGGGAAAAAAGCCTAAAAAAGGATCAACAAAATGAAATATAAACATGTGACACATATGTTTCTCCATGCATTTTTCAAAGCTTTTCAAAAATATAGTTTTTAGATCTGTAGCTATAGTCACAAAAAAGTGGGCTATTTAAGATTTTTTTTCACAGACCGGACAATAAATAAAAAAAATATCATTTTAACTAAAAATCCTTTTAATTACTATTCATTAAAAGTCACATAATTTCACGGTGATAGTGTCTAAAATGAGAGTGCTAGGACAAAAAACTACTGTTCACATACTTATTATATTTGGACATGTTTTTATCTTTTACAATAAAAATATACAATTAATTTAAGCCACGTCTTAAACCCCCCAAAAACCGGTTTTAATTGATCGCCGGCTTAAATCTTGAAAAATTTAATACAAATTTAAGTAGAACCAACCATATTTGAGCAGCGGCTTAAATTTAAACCGATTTTAAATTCGGCCTCGGTTGTAATAGTATCTTTAGTTGGACTAGTTGTGAAACCGACTTTTTTATATCGGGTATAGGTCCTAGTTAATTCAACTTGCAAATTAAGCTTCTTATTTTAATCAAAAATTTGACCAGAAAGTAAAATTTTTTTAATTTGGCACAATCTAGTATGGCATACACTGTTTTATCCTTTGGTTATACAGCCCTTGGTTCTGGCCATATTGTGGGAGGAAACTAACGTTTTAGCATAAATATAATTAGAAGAATGTTCAGGACAGAGTTAGTATTTGTCATTTCCTACGTCAAAAGCCTTATATTGTAAAAATGTTAAGTTCTTTAAATCATGAATTTTATTCTCAAAATAAGAATTCAGCGATAAAACATTTCTGCAACACCAGCAATCCCTTTCAAAGCTTTGTTAAACTTAGTATTTGTGTAATTGAGCAAATAGACACACAAGTGTTATCTTGGTATAAATACTGCTGGGACTTCTGTAGTACGTTACTCAAGCCTACTTCTCCCAAGGTGCAGTAATATCATTATTTTAGACATTCAAAATCAGGCCTTTTTGTTGTGTTCATTTATAACTTTTAACCTCCATTTTCTCCATATTCTTTGCTTATAAGATGTTTCCATTGTTTTTACTAAATCTAAGACACTTTAAAGACACCATAAAAGCAAGTTTAGATGTTGAATTTAAATTTGATGCTAAAATGAACATTTTTAGATGAGATCTGTCTTGTGTTTGACTTTTCTGTTGGCTGGAGTATCCCAGGCCAAAAATATTCAACCTAAGCTTGATATTGTCTTGATCAGCAATGAAACCGAATCAAGGAATATCTTGCCAAAACTTGAAGTTCAACTTCTTGTAAATGAGACTGAAGAAATCAATCCAAGCCTGTTGACTCCAAAGCTAGAGGTCCAGCTTCTTACAAATGAAACTGAGGTTGTTGATCCCAGTCTGCTGACTCCTAAGATGGCTTTGGCCAGAGCTACAACAGATTGTGGATGCGGGTATGCTGTGAGCAATCCTAATCCAGCAGCTGGAAGAATTGTTGGTGGATCTGTAGTTACCCCACAGAACAAGCTTCCATATCAAGTATTTGTTCAGACCTGTTTTGCTAATGGTTGCGCTTCTTGCGGAGGTACATTGATCAATAAAAGGTATGTCATGACTGCAATGCACTGTGTTGTGAGTGGAGGTGTCGCGGCTAGGAGTGCGTTGGTCAAAATTGGAGATTATAGTAAAAATTTTGCTATCGAGACAATACCACAACAGAATATTCCTGTTGCCAATATTATTATGAGAGATGACTATGATGAAAAGAATACGAATAATGATATTGCTCTGCTCCGCTTGTCTTCTGATGTTGTATTTAACGCCAATGTTGTACCTGCCTGCCTACCTACTGATCCAAATAATCTTTATGTAGGCCAGCAAGCAGTTGTTTCAGGGTGGGGCACTACCTCTTCAGGAGGGTCTACAAGTGATTTGCTGAAGGAAACTACAGTTAAAATTGTAGCTAACTCTGATTCAACCTGCCTAGGACCATACGCAAATATTGGAAAAACAAGGATGTGTGCTTATGCAGCAGGAACTGATAGCTGTCAGGGAGATAGTGGTGGACCTCTGGTTGTCAAGGAGGATGGAAGATACACAGTAGTAGGTGTTGTATCCTATGGTATAGGTTGTGCTTCTACTAACACTGCTGGAGTATATGCTAGAGTTACCAACTACTTGGATTGGATCAACTCAAATGTTGCAGATGGATGGTGTTCAGGAACTAATCCTCCAGTACAACCAACAACTGCCTCTCCTACAACCCAAGCTCCAGCTACAGGTGTTGCATGCGATCTCAGATGTGTGGGGACATTTTCTGGAAACTATCTATTGAATGGTCTCCCTGCAACCTGCAGCTTAGGTATTTGCACTTCTACGGATGGAAGTAATCTTTGCATGGCTTTAGGATATCCATGTGGAACACCAACAGTTGCTACTACAACTGCTGCTCCCACAACAACTGCTCCAACAACAACTGCTCCAATCTGTAATCTAAGGTGTATAAACAGTAGACTAAATGGTATCTATCAGATCAATGGAATTCAATCTACATGCACCTCTGGAAGATGCAGTGCAACAAATGGCAGTGATCTTTGCAAGCAACTTAGGTATCCATGTGGAGTTTGAACAGAAAATACTGACAAATGAGGAATTTCAATCACTGTTTTCTTCATGTTCATTGAAATATTTATATTTTGTATCTAAATTGGAAACAAATAATTTAAAAATTGAAAATTTGCTTAATAAAAAATCAACCGCCTTGATGTTAACCTAAATTATTTTAACAGATATATCTTGGAAGGAATTCAAATATTGTTAAAACTTTAGATTATTATCTACCTTTTAGAATAGAAGAGTTCAATTTTTTTCCAGTTTTTAATCATTGCGATACTAAGGTATAAACCTTTTGCAGGCCCAAACCAGCAAAAGCATTTTCCATTGTGGGATATGTGATTTCATGTAAGATATGATATGCTTGTGTGGTAAGATAAAGGCCTTGTTAAAAGAATGAGGGGCAAGGGCTGCTGACCTGTACAAGAGTGAGGGAGAAGGGTTACTGACTTGTAGACGAATGAGAGTTAATACTACTGTAAGAGAATAAGGGGTAAGAGTTACTGACATGTAAGAGAATGAGGGGGAAGTGTTACTGACATGAAAGAGAATGAGGGGGAAGTGTTACTGACATGTAAGAAGATGAGGGGGAAGTGTTACTGACATGAAAGAGAATGAGGGGGAAGTGTTACTGACATGTAAGAGAGTGAGGGGTAAGAGTTACTTACATGTAAGAGAATGAGGGGGAATGGTTACTGACATGAAAGAGAATGAGGGGGAAGTGTTACTGACATGTAAGAAAATGAGGGGGAAGTGTTACTGACATGAACGAGAATGAGGGGGAAGTGTTACTGATATGTAAGAGAATGAGGGGTAAGAGTTACTTACATGTAAGAGAATGAGAGGGAATGGTTACTGACATGAAAGAGAATGAGGGGGAAGTGTTACTGACATGTAAGAGAATGAGGGGTAAGAGTTACTTACATGTAAGAGAATGAGGGGGAATGGTTACTGACATGAAAGAGAATGATTGGGAAGTGTTACTGACCTAAGAGTTTTAAATCTTCCTTCAAACTGAGCACAGGGCTTATACTCTGCAGTACTTCCATCTATATTAATTATCCGTGTAATATATATTTTATGAAAGCTGGGCTATATACTATAAGCTTTGTCTTGGACAAGGGTTCAAATTCAGAGTCACTTATTCAAATCCTTAAAAATCTTCAACTTTAAAGCAGACATTCAGAATTTGTTGGTAGTTCAACAACCCATCTCTCATTCATAAAATTTGGTACCAGAGTCCTTTAATTTGGAACCTGTACTGGATTTTCCCTCATTAATTTAACTATTTAGTACTCACTGCTTAATTGATTAATCTTTGCAAGGAATGCTGGAGCTTAAACTTTCTAAAACTGTTCAAAAATACCAACTAGCTTATTTATTACAAAATTAATGTAATTTGATGATAGCACCAGAGGGCCGGTATCAAATTTTGCATAACATTTTTAAAAGTAAAAACATGGATTTGTCTGCTAACGATGACATAGGTTTACAGGGTACAGTTGTGAATTGTTATTACCTAGGATTTCTACGACAAATATAGAGAATTTCTGATATGAACCAGGACTCATGGAGATCCATACTGAGGATATCAGGAGATGACGGCTTAGGGAAACCTAAATATTTTATAATTTTGGAAAAATTATAATTTTTATTTACATCATTAAAAAACAAAGAAATACTGAAATCTGTAAAACTGTATCTTTGTTGTTTGGTGCATACCAATTTATTTGCGTATAAGGATATCTTGGTCAACATTAAAGGGAGTGTTCGCAAAAATTAAAGGGAGGAATAGGCTTACGTCGAGAAATATTCGATGGTGCTTGATACTTCTCTGACTTTTATATGTTGCGTCTATAAGGAGAAAATTGTCAAAAAAAACAAATCATATAGTTGATATTTCATAATATATCGCATTTTTTGTATACAATGCAATTTAAACGACAATAAGTTGGCCGTTAGGTGTCTCTACTCTCGATGTTTCTGTGGTTCCATATAGAAGAGACACCCAACGGATAAAAAAAATCCTCGTTTTAAGTGCATTGTATATAAAACTAATAAAAATATCATGCTATATAAACTATATACAAATGCGTCAAAAAAGTCAATGATTATAAGTTGCAATATCTCTGAATGATTTGAAATTAATTTTTTTACAATCCATGTCAAATATTGCAACTTTCTGAATTTGTATGGACGCTACGTTCTGAAGACACGGTATGAGTCGTTTTTAACAATTTTCTCCTTATAGACGCAACAGATAGAAGTAAGATTAGCAGTAATCACCATCGACTATTTTACGAAGTAAGCCCATACTCCCTTCCATTTTTTGTGAACACTCCCTTTAAGAGTTAAATGATAGTGTTGTGAACTTGTATACATAATTCAGACATGCTACTCTATAAATGGAGAGCCCTAGAAATAATATCTACAGTCCCTTTAAGAATACAAGAATACAAGAATACAAGAATACAAGAATACAAGAATACAAGAATACAAGAATACAAGAATACAAGAATACAAGAATACAATTCTATCTTACTATTTATCTATTTACCTCTGTATCTATCTTACTATTTATCTATTTACGTATCTAGGAGCGGAATCAAGAGGGGTTTGTGTTTAAAATAATTCTTTTATTTTCAGAGTATGCTGAATTTTAAAGAAAAAGACACCATCTTGTATTTGTGGGTAGATTTTGCATAAATTAGATCTTATTAACATCAGACCCTGACTACAGACCCTGGAAACAGCTGACATCTGTAGAACAGCACACATCTTAAAAACAGCTGACATCTCAACAGCTGACATCTTAAGAACAGCTGATATCTTAAGAACAGCTGATATCTTAAGCACAGCGGACATCTGTAGACAGCTGACATCTGTAGACAGCTGACATCTGTAGACAGCTGACATCTGTAGATCAGCTGACACAATATCTGTAACTATGGTTTTACAAATCCGTAAAACAGCTAACACAATATTTAAGAAACATTTGTAAAATAGATGAAACAATATCTGGAAAACAGCTGACACAATTTCTGGAAAATTGCTGAAACAATATCTTGAAAACAGCTGACACAATGTCTGGAAAATTGCTGAAACAATATCTGGAAAACAGCTGACACAATTTCTGGAAAATTGCTGAAACAATATCTGGAAAACAGCTGACACAATATCTATAGAAAATAGTCGAAACAACATCTGGAAAATAGCTATCTGAAAAACAGCAGACATAATATCTGGATAACAGCCGTCACAATATCTTAAAAATAGCCTACAAATAATATAAAACGAGAGAATTATTAGGTTTTTTAATTTGGAAGTGCAAACCTTTTAAGCCATTTTTTATTTGTTTCTAAAAACTGAAATAGTTTATCCTACCAATAAACTTTATTTATTAAATTCCCCTGTTAACTGGACAATTTTTAGATTAAAATAAAACCAAATTAATCCTTTAATCAATAAATGCTGCAGATAGCATACCACATTTTGTCTAGTATTTAATGATAAATTATTTATTGATTTATATAATTCTCGATTTTCTTAATCTTGCATAGATTAGATACTTAGAAATTTATATTCTCCAAACTCCTAATTTCTTACATCCGTTAAATGGATAAGCAGTTAACAATCATTAAATCTGATATTGGATATTGATAAAAGCTTGGCTCAGATTTGAAGGTCAAATGCGCCAAACTGGACCAAAAACTAACATTTGGGTAGAAATTGTTTTACTTGCGGCTAGCATTACACTTGTGTTTCTATCTGTATATTCTATAATTTCCCTGCAACAAGCGCTTTCCATCCATCATTGTAAAACTTGGGATTTCCTATCCCCATTTCCCATCTACTGAAGGTTCTACAGATTACCTGCTACCAGCTTTGTTCCTCTTTCCTTAAGGTAAAACTACAGGTGTTCATATCTCCGTCTACTGCTAGTTCTATAATTAAGTTACCTGCTACCAGCTTTGTTCCTCCTTCCTTGAGGTAAAACTACAGGTGTTCATATCTCCATCTACTGCTAGTTCTATAGGTTACCTGCCACCAGCTTTGTTCCTCCTTCCTTGAGGTAAAACTACAGGTGTTCATATCTCCATCTACTGCTAGTTCTATAGGTTACCTGCCACCAGCGCGGCGTTGTCCCTCATTCCTTGAGGTAAAACTACAGGTGTTCATATTTCCATCTACTGCTAGTTCTATAAGTTACCTGCCACCAGCGTTGTCCTTCCTTCCTTGAGGTAAAACTACAAGTGTTCATATCTCCATCTACTGCTAGTTCTATATGTTACCTGCCACCAGCGTTGTCCTTCCTTCCTTGAGGTAAAACTATTTCGTTCATATCTCCATCTACTGCTTCTTCTAAAAGTTACCTGCCACCAGCGTTATCCCTCCTTCCTTGAGGTAAAACTACAGGTGTTCATATCTCCAACTGCTGCTAGTTCTATAGATTACCTGCCACCATTGTTGTCCCTCCTTCCTTGAGGTAAAACTACATGTGTTCATATCTCCATCTACCTGCTATTTCTATAGGTTACCTGCCACCAGCGTTGTCCTTCCTTCCTTGAGGTAAAACTACAAGTGTTCATATCTCCATCTACTGCTAGTTCTATAGGTTACCTGCCACCAGCGTTGTCCCTCCTTCCTTGAGGTAAAACTACAGGTGTTCATATCTCCGTCTACCGCTAGTTCAGGTGTGTAACTCCAAAGTACATCTGACTGAGTTGCAGTCTTTCCCAGAGCAAGGTTTTCTCCTGCAACATTATTCAAAATTATTTTTTCCACAATTATTATTTACACTTTACAGTTATAATGATATTGCAGATTAAAGAGTTTATTTTTTATTGTGATGTAATTAAGATGTTCATAACGAAAATTTTTTTCTTCAATACGTATCGCATATTGGGTATTGCATATTGCGTAATTGCATAAGGAAATTAATAAATTGTGAATACTTTTCACAGACAAGGAAGATACTTGGTTTATGTCAACTTTTCTTTATAAAAAGCATTTAAAGGGAGTGTTCGCGAAAAATGAAAGGGGGTATAGGCTTAATGCGATAAAAAAGCGCTTTTGATCGCTACTAATCTTACTTCTATCTGTTGCGTCTATAAGGAGAAAATTGTTAAAAACGACTCACACCGAAGAACGCAGCGCCCATACAAATTCGGAAAGATGCAACATTCAACTCGGATCGTAAACAAATCAATTTAATTCCAAACAAATCATTCAGATATTACAAACAGTAGTCATCGATTATTTTTCGACGCATTCATATATAGTTAATATTTCATAATATTTTTGATTTTGGTTTTTTAATTAATTTTCGCTGGCGCTGGATTTTCGAACATTCCTGGAAAATATGAAAATGTCGTCTTCATTATCAAAAATCCTCGAAACAGGAAAAAATGTAACTCTCAGATCATGAAAAATACAAAATATTAAGAAATATCAACTATTTACGAATGCGTCGAAAAATAATCGATGACTATTGTTTGTAATATCTGATTGATTTGTTGGGAATCAAATAGAAATTTTTACGATCCGAGTTTAATGTTGCATCTTTCTGAATTTGTATGAACACTACGTTCTTCGGTGTGAGTCGTTTTTAACAATTTTCTCCTTATAGACGCAACAGATAGAAGTAAGATTAGTAGCGATCAAAAGCGCTTTTTTATCGCATTAAGCCCATACCCCCTTTCATTTTTCGCGAACACTCCCTTTAACATATAATTTCATTTTCCCAACACTGGTTTTAATAAAGTTATTGTCATTATTATTTTTATTGTTCTGAAAAATGCATCCATTTAAACAGATAAATTTGGCGACAAAGTTAAGTTTTACAAATATGAAGAAAATTGGCGACCGATCAACATTGTAATTTGCTTAATTTGTTAATAGAAAAGCGTGGTGCGCTAAGTGGCAAAAAAGTAAATAAAACCAAATCAACGACCCTTGTCTCATTCTTTTCTGTTGTATTCATAATTATTACTTTTCAATTAATTTCCTGGTAAATAAAAGGCCCAGCGCGGTTTTCTTAATTACTAATACAGTATACATCTAGGTTTAGAATATTAATTATTTATGATGTGTAGAATACATTAATCTAACATAATCTATATATAAAAGTTTGAATGTGTGTATGTCCGATCATAAACACATGGACCAATTTGTCTAAAATCTTGATTTGATGAATTCGGGGAACCACGGAAATGTTCTTAGCTAGGTTAGAACGCGCTAAGTTGATTGGGTTAACTTTTATAAACTCCAGTCAAGGCTGGGTTCCAAAGCTACATAATACTTATATCTTGTATAATACATAAGGGCTCTAAATTAATGAATTTATGAGAGGTAGTATTTTTTCTCTAAGGTTAAAGTTAGTTCAACAATCTCTACTTCCTTATCCTACTTTTTCCTTTTTGTTTAGGCCATTTTTGTCTAATATAGTTTTTTTTTTTTGGGGGGGGGATGAGGGAGATTAAAGTCAAACTCTTAAATTTTTCCTGACAATTGAGATGTTTTTCATGTTAAATAGTTCAATAATTCCTAATCCCTATCTTTCTTAATTTAGTGCCAAACTTTGTTCTTAATTGTCTTAAAATGAATTATACTATAATTTTTCGTGCCATGAGATTGGGTTTACAAACTGGTAAAGTAAAACCAAGTTTTATAATACATAAATATTTCTATGTGTGTACATCCCTTTAGTTTCTACTAATTAGAAATGTGCTAACCAACTACTCTTCCAACACCTGTAAATGTTTAATGAAGACTGGCAATTATCGATTTTTAGTTGATAGAACTAAAATACAATTTTCTTTTAGTTTCTTAGAATTCATTTATATTGTAATACTCAGTTTTTGCCAGAATTGTTAATCCCTATTTCTTTGCAACTCGATGTTTAAGATCTTTGATTTGATAGTTTTCGTTTTGAAATAAAACGAAGTGAAGAAGTGTGAAGAAAGTAAGGCTGTATATAAATACGGTTGGTTACTCTCGATGCGCTCCAATGTACGGAAAATGTCGTTTTTGCTTCAAAACTATTGTTTCAGAGTACTGAATGATTCTAATGATGATTTTTATACTCTTTTCTCTCTCTTATTCCAACTTAAAAATAATCCGCCAATTCCTTCCAAAATGTCGTCTTCACTCCTTATCAACATTTTTTATCCACTAAACTACATATTCTCCATAGTTTTTATACACGTATTTTATTATATCTGTACCTCTGTTCTGAACTTCTATATCTTGCTTATTCTCTTCCCAATACAGTGGTCCCCATAAAACATCTATTCATTACTCAATCTTCCCAATTAATCCAACTCCCAATTTACCAATTTAATGTTTTATATTATTGCTGACTTTTTACATGACAAATTACAATTAGCAAACAAAATATTATGATTTAATAATGTATTATTGTTTTAAGAACACCTTTATATACACCAGTTATATTCAACATTAACTTAATTGCTATAATTTTGCTAGTTTTTGTGAAAAAAAATATAGAATTGTTTTGTGCTTCCCCCCTTGCCCATTTTTCGCTTTTCCCTTTATTTTCACAAATATTCATTTTTTTGTTCTTTTCCCTTTATGTTTGCGAATTGAAAACTGGAGTAATTAATTCCTATAGATTAATTAATTAATGTATGGTTTTATAATTACTTAAGGAAAACTTAAAGAACAATTAATTAGCACTTAAAGGAAATATGGATAATAATGGAAGCGGGGACGTTTTTAGGAATTTTTGCAAGGGGGGGGGGGGTGGCCGAAAAACCCCTAAAACACTGACATAAAGTTCCAATAGTCCCCCCTGAATACGCATCTGAATGGAAGAGGGGTGGACGTTCTCTTTTACAGGGGAGGATAAGAATGGAGTTAGAAGGATATGTGAGTGCGAGGTCCGAGGAGAGGGGGGGGGGGTAATAGCGCAGCAGGGCTTGAAATATAATGGTATTACTATACCCCATTATAAGGATTTAAGAATTATTTCAAACAGTTACAACACATTATTAGAAGGAGTGCGAAAGAAAGGAATTTATTTTATTGGTTATTTTTGACTATTTTGTTGGGAATATTTTGTTATTTTTCAAAGATTTATCAATAAAACTGCATATAATTATGAATAATGGAAATTGTTTTTAAGTTGTAAAAATTCTAATATTCTGGACAAAGTAACCAGTGGAGGGGGGCTTACCCTTTTTAACCAGTTTGAACAGGGGGGATGCACCCCCCCAGTTAGAATGAATAGGTTTGAATGAGACAGATTAGCATATCGAGGGGATTAAAGGGAAGTTATGACAGCAAGAAAAAAGAAAACTTTTCAGAGTTTCAATAAAAACCTGGAATTGTAGGAGNAGGGGAAAACATTCAAAGTAGTTGAAACTTCTTCACCTAAAAAATGACACAGTTTAAACAAGAAATTAACTTTTTTGAAAACATATATCTCCCAACAAAGAGTCACTCTACTTCTTAAATAATACAAAATAACTAAGTTTTCAAAAATCTCATAACAAAAATGAAATAAAAAGACTGACATCTTTTTAACGATATTGTTTTGGCAACTGTAAGGATGAAAATAAATTTTAAAGAAGTTTTTTTTTTGTTATTGAACAACTTAAAAACATCTTCTTAAAAGCTTATTTTTTTTAAAGAATGTTAAAGTATTGTCCAGAATTATTAAAAATTTAACAAAGCTTTCAAAATATCTATTTCTAAATGTTAAAACCAAGTGAAGCTGGGCTGGAATTTTCAAGTTGTTGAGTCGAGAAAAGAATAGTTTGAAAGTTTGAATTAAGTTTGAGAATAAACTGCTTATAAACTACCAAATTATTACAATTCTATTGCTTTACCCTTGAAGATCGGGGGCCCAAGGGGGGGCGACGGGCAGGGGGGTTAGTGTGCCCTTATAAAATCTCAGATGTGCAACCAATTTCTTTTGGAAAACCTAACCTTCGATATTTTCTAATTTCTTAAATATTTTAATTGTTTGTTAACTAACTTTTTATTTAGAGCAAACATATTAACAAAGCAATCATTTGCAATAAAGTGAAATAGGAAGACGACATTCAGACTCAAATTCTGAATTTAAATAGTCCAATGAGCATGCGCCACCACAACCCAGGTGCAGTATAAACAGACCCATTTAACTTTAGTAAAATAATTTACTTTGTAACAACATTATAAATACACTGAAGTTTATTGCTTTAAAGTTGTCTTTTTATTTCCGATGTATTTTTTGGTTATCACTGTATTAAAAGTTATAATTTTGTATTTAGGTACTTACTGCAAAAGGGTAGTTTCCCATTCCAAGTTCCATCGGTGTTACAAGTTCTCCTCTCATCACCTAGATAATGTCGTCTTTTTATCATCTCATACATAATGTCGTCTTTATTATCATCATTTTTAAAATGTCGTCTTTCTTTTCCTTACATTTATAATGTCGTCTTTATCATCATACCCTATACTGGCGTCTTTTTATTATTTCCTAGATAATGTCGTCTTTATTATCATCTCCTAGATAATAATGTCTTTCTTTTCATTTCATAGATAATGTCGTCTTTATTATCATCCGCATAATGCCGTCTTTCTTATCGTCACATAGATAATGTCGTCTTTATTATCATCTCCTAGATAATGTCGTCTTTATTATCATCTCCTAGATAATGTCATCTTTATTATCATCTCATAGATAATGTCGTCTTTATTATCATCACCTAGATAATGTCGTCTTTATTTTTAGCACCTAAATAATGTTGCCTTTATTATTATTCAATCCTTTCAGGGTTTCCTCAAAAAGATAAGAGTTTGACAACCAAAACCTCTTTTGATGAAACTTGAGTTTTGACGGCACTTAGAATGTCGAACCCTGAATTACCTCATCCTTTGTGTGTAATGTTGCAAGTATACTTGCTAAATTTTGTAGTGTTGTAAGTGTAATTGCAAAAGTTTGTAATGTTGCAAGTATAATTGCTAAAATGTGTAATATTGCAAGTATAATGGCTAAATTTTGTAATGTTGCAAGTATAATTGCTAAATTGTGTAATGTTGCAAGTACAATTGCTAAATTGTGTAATGTTGTAAGTATAATTGCTAAATTGTGTAATCTTGCAAGTACAATTGCTAAATTGTGTAATGTTGCAAGTATAATTGCTAAATTTTGTAATGTTGCAAGTATAATTATTAAATTGTGTAATGTTGCAAGTATAATTATTAAATTGTGTAATGTTGCAAGTATAATTGCTAAATTGTGTAATGTTGCAAGTACAATTGCTAAATTGTGTAATGTTGCAAGTATAATTGTTAAATTTTGTAATGTTGCAAGTATAATTATTAAATTGTGTAATGTTGCAAGTATAATTGTTAAATTGTGTAATGTTGCAAGTATAATTGCTAAATTTCTGTAATTTACAATTATTTGAGCTTTCTAGCTATTTGCAATTACGTAAGGTCAAATTGTTACTTTTGCAATTTTTAAGCCCACAGCATTCACCCATTAGCACTCAAGAATCCTTTTTCTAAAGAAATTTTCATGAGATCTGCATGCAACAAGATAAGTTTGCCTAATTTAATCACGGGTAGCCGTAGTACATTTGAATATCCGAGCCTGGTCAACCTTTCCGGTCCCAGTTTGTACTGCACCTAGCTCTATGGACAGGAATAGCCGGTGCATCAAGGTTGACACAGTCAGACTTTATGCTTCATATACGTTGAATTTACTTTTACTAAAGGGGCAGAGGTGCGTGAGCTCTTTGATTAAAATTATAATGCAAATGCAATCTGTAATCTAAATATTGTTCCAACCTTTGATTATGAATTTAGAGTTACATGAGTAGATAACTTCATCTCCAGGATAGAATATACGATCGGTAGGTTGGAACGTTCCATTGTTTGGCGTTCCTGGATACCCACATTCTTTACCTAAACAAGATGTTCCCCATTACAAGTGCATATAAGGTTGTTTGGTGTTTGATATATAGAAATACAGGGCTGTTTGGTGTTCTAATGTACAAAAGAATACAGGGTTGTTTGGTGTCCCAATATACTGGGAATACAAAGTTGTTTGGTCCTTCAATATAAAAAAGCACAAGATTGTTTGTTTTTCCAATATACATCTTGATATACATCGTTTTCTTTTATAAAAGGAAATGGATCTAAATAGTGATTTAAGGTTTATATAAACAGAACAATGAAAGCATAAGAACGCAAGCAGTTCCATGTAAAAGCTTTGTTTTTTTTGTCTAAATATTTAGATTTTAGATAATGTTAAAAGATTTGAATGGCGTACAAATGGGATGGGATGGGCCGGGGGGGTGGGTGGGTTCAATTTACCTCCTCATCCGAAAAACAGATATAAAGTTTAAAATAGTTTACCGTGTACTCTGTCTGAATTGTAGGCCAAGAGAAGTGAACTCAGAGCAAAGAATAATAACATTTTACCAGCCGGAGATTTTTCCTTCAAAATCTAGTACATGAGAAGTTTAGAAAATGAATTGATCTTGTCACTTTTTCACATTTTAATTCCCAAGTACAGGTTACTTGAAAACTTTTTTATAGAGTTCATTTGTATAAAAGTTTATCTGTTTATCATTCTGTCTTTAGGAACATTTTTGCACTAATATATAACTTTGTCTTTACAATAAAAGTTTCTTTTCAAAAGTTCACTTTTTCACAAATAACTTTTCTCTACAATTGTTTGATTTTTTCTTTATTTTCCCCCCGATCATTCTGATATCTGAAATTTTGTTAGATGTTAAAGAGAAAATTATTTTAAATTTATTCATAAATATCTATTTCAACTTAAAAAAATAAAATTATAACTTTACAAAGAAGATAAAATAAGTTTAAATTCATTTTTTTGAACCTTAAGAATATTTAAATTGTTTAAGATATTTTTCCAAAAGTCGAATTAAAAGAAATGTTCTAATCCCTATATCTTTGCAATCTAATGGTGTAAACCTTTGATATTTAAAACTTAGATTGTTTGATCTAACCAAATTCATGGTTTGAAATATCTAAGATCTACGACATTGGGTTGCAAAGATATAGGTTTATAAAATCATAGTTTGGGGCAAAGAATCAATTCCTTTGTAAAATAGGGTTTTTATCCATAATTGATTTTGTCATATCCTCTTTTTTGTAAAAAACATCTACATGTTCCACGGTCCTCCCCTCCTCCTCTTGCTTTATCTTTTATTTCTTCTCATACCATTCCGTATACAATTGACAATGTATATTGTATATGAATAGACTGGATTGCCAAAAGCTCCCCCCCCCTCCCCCCTCCCTTCGGCCTTCCCGCCTTCTCCCCCTCCTCCCTTCCCCTATTGTGTTATTTACATGTAATGCATGTTTTGTTACTTAAAGAACTATACCAAGATATACCCATTATTCCTCATTACTGGAGTACTTGATGTATAATCATAATGCGGGTAAACATATATATCACGTTGCATTTAGGATTCAAATATGTTTTCAATCATAACTTTTCGTATTTAGAAAATTAGAAGGTTTATTGAAAGAAAAAAAAATTCAAATTTCGTTTATGTAACTAAACAATTTTGCGTAAATATGCGTAAAATTTAAACTAGAGGAGGTAGTAGTGTCGCTAATCTTGCATAATCGTGCTGGGTCGACTCTATACACTAGGAAGGCTGACTGGACGGTACAACTGAATGAATATTCAGCTGGTGTTGTACCGTCACGGATCATTAAACTGTTAGACAGGGGTGACCTGTTATGTCGCATAATTTGTTTATTTTTTCTTAGAAGAACTATCTAGCTTCCGTAGATGTGACATTGAATTGAATTGAATGTCCCAATCAATATGTGGATGTATATAACTCTGTCTTACCCATATTGTTATTGCTTAACTACTTTATATATGACAGCACATAGCTTATTATTACGCTGTTAAGAGCCAATTCTAATCTAACTTAAGAAATAAAGCTAGTCGATATAGAGACTCCACTTTGATTGCTAAGAGAGAGAGTAATTGTTTCCTTGTTCTAAACAAATGAGTTGAAGATCATGTCTTAGTTGAGACATTGATAGTTTACGAGATCATGTCCTAGTTAAGAGACATTGATAGTTTACAAGATCGTGTCTTAGTTGAGACATTGATAGTTTACGAGTTTGTGTCTTAGTTAAGACATTGATAGTTTACGAGATCATGTCCTAGTTGAGACATTGATAGTTTATGAGATTGTATTCTAGATGAGGCATTGATAGCTCAAGATTGTGTCCTAGTTGAGGCATTGATAGCTCAAGATCCTGTCCTAGTTGAGACATTGAAAGTTTACGAGATAGTGTCCTAGTTCAGGCATTAATAGCTCAAGATCGTGTCCAAGTTGAGACATAAATAGTTTACAAGATCGTGTCCTAGTTGAGACATTGATAGTTTACGAGATCGTGTTTTAGCTGAGACAGTGATAGTTTACGAGATCATGTCCTATTTGAGACAGAGATAGTTTACGAAATCATGTCCTAGTTGAGACATTGATAGTTTACGAGATCGTGTCCTAGTTGAGGCATTGATAGTTTACGAGATCGTGTCCTAGTTGAGGCATTGATAGCTCAAGATTGTGTCCTAGTTGAGACATTGATAGTCTACGAGATAGTGTCTTAGTTGAGGCATTGTTAGCTCAATATCATGTTCTAGTTGAGGCATTGAAAGTTTTCAAGATGGTGTCCTAGTTGTCGGAATTGAAAACTCAAAATCATGTCCTAGTTGAGGCATTAATAGTTACGTACTTGTGTCCGGGTTTAGACATTGATAGCTAGTGGAATCGACTGGTACTTGGAAAGATACGTGTTCCAGGAACAGTTATGGAGTAGGGCATTTACTACAACTGTAATAGAATAAAATCTCATGTATCCAGACAAAGAGTATACAACGTACCGTTGTGATTCTGACAGGTCACTTAAAATTACGTCTATAGTCTCTTTAATAAGAAAACTTCTGAATTATAAAAGTTGCAATTTTTTTTGCAAGTTTCATTTTCTTTTTAGCGCTAAATTACAAAGTATGATGTTTTAAACAAGTTTATGAATATTTGAATCTTGACTTTTTATAAAAAAAAACTTTAATCCTAAAAGGGGTGTTGTGAGACAGCTCATGGGGGGTGGGCATATTCAAGGTCAATATTTAACAGTTGAAATGTTGACTAGTTAAGAATAGAGTTTTGTTATGTCCAATATACAAGTAGATTAATAGACAGATAGCTAGATAGACAGATAGAAAGACAGATAGACGGATAGCCAGATATATAGGTAGATAGAAAGACAGTGGATAGATGATAAAAAAATAGATAGACGTATCAAACATATTAACATAGATAGTTAGATAGATAGATAGATGGAGAGACAGATAGGAATACAATCAGACAGATTAACAGTTAGACTGGAGGATATCCAGATTACATTCAGATGATTGATATTGTTAAACTAGCGTAATATTACCAATGAAAATATATCTGGTTTTTATAAAACAAAAAATAGAAATTGTTTTTCGTGGTTTAAAAAATATCTTTCCAGTTTTGACTTTTTGAACTGACTGTTTTTAAGTTTTAGAAATTTTCTTTACGTAAGAATCAAAAATACTTTGAATAATTCATGGTTACACTTCTCTACTCTACTTTACATGAAATATTGAACGAATCACTTTATATCCCTACTCCTTACTCTCCACCTCCCGTCTCACCCCTACATTTCCTCATTTCTAAAACACTGGCATATTTGAAACTTCTCATATTATAGCAATTTTTCTAAATCCTATGTTCGGCACTAGAACTTTAATGCCTCGCGCTTTAAAAAAACGTTTTTCTTTGAAAAATTATTCTCAAATAGTTCTTCAGTTTTATGTGAACCTCCAATTCCAGAGTTACGTGTTAAATTCACAACAGTACACTTGACAACTCTGAGGACTCAAAAAAGTGTTTATTTCTATAAGTTTCACCGTTGCTTCTGCCAAAAAAGAAATGCGCAAGTCACTTGATCTCGCTGAGAAACCGCAATAAGAATAAACAGTGATTCCTCCAACAGAGGGAGGTTAAGTTACGTAACGTCCCTTGCGACAGTTATTTAAAATAACCACCCGCTATGCACAATTCCATCTCAAAAGACGATAACATCGTGTACACAGTACAACTACTTTTTCCGGAAATTACAAATTTTAATTAAACACTGGTTCCCTCGACGGGTCTTGGGAACCCTTGGTAAAGTAAACTTTCCCAGTAAAGTAGCAATTTCCCGAAAAAGTAGTTGTACAGAATTTTATCGTCTTCTAAGATGAAAATGGGCAAATTTTTGTTCCGAATTATTTTGCAGAGCGGCCAGCGGGTGATTAATCTACATAACAGACAGAATTGAGACATTAAGTACCTTAACCTCCCTCTGGTGGGGGAATCATAGGTCGGTCATGTTGGTCAAAAGGTGGTAAAGATTACAATCACACTAGCTTTACGGATTCAGTTCTCTACTTTGTGGCAGACTTGGCGAAACAGTCTAGCAGAAAATTAATAAAAGTTTAATGGTAGATAAAAGCAGATTTTATTACGCAAAATTGGTCTCTTTCCAATAAAGTTTTATGTCTGTTAACCAGCATGAAAGGGAGGATATAAACACAATTTTAGATTGTGACCTCTACACATCTATTTCGAATTCAATTTTGATCCGCTAAAAATCGACGGATAATCTTGTAAAAAAATTGCATTTTTAAATCATGCAAAATGTTCTCAATCATACCCCCTCTTAATGAAAAGTTTTTTTTAAAAGTTTGCAGTTTCATCCAATTTTCTTAGTTTGACGCAAAACATCATTTCCTTTACGTTAATGTTTACAGCTATGGGTTGAAAAATAACAAAATATGTTTCTAAATTGAACTTCACAATTTTTCTTTTTAAAATTTTCATGTTTGAGCCAAATTTCTTCAATTTCCTTTTAAGTTTAAGAATAATCCGGGGAAATCTCTTCGAATATCTTGGTCAGAAAGCTTGGCAACTTTGACAGGAGGGATTTGAATGTTAAAACTTTAAAATAGTGTTGCGATTGAACCATGGAGAAAATCAAGAACAGGAGAGGAAGTAATAACATCGTTGTTGAAGCTAGAATAATAGTTTTACCATGGATAAAATATAGAAAGGGAACGAAAATAACGAAATTGTCGCTTTAACTTGAACTAGCATAAATCATGGAGAAATTATAGAACAGGATAGGAAGTAAAACAACTATTGTTTAAACTAAAACTTATCATAATCATAGTTAAATCATTTCATAGGATACAAATTTACAAAACTGTTGTTTTTAGTTTTCTTAAAATATTTAATGGTTGAGATTTTCATATCAAAACAAGTATTTGGGATTTTTCAAAATATACAAAATATCAAAGGTCTTTAACAAGTCCCAATCTGACACAGTTATTTTTTTAGTAGATTTCCGTACTGGCGTCATTTATTTTGTATTTGCTTCTTTTTTTTAGTAGATATTCTCACTGCCTTACCCTTGTACTGAGATACTGAGTCAGCATTTATTCAGTGTTATAACCAAGTTAACAAGTACACACATATATTCTACTATAAAATGTTGCATAAAAAACACATAGCTAATAATGTCAATAACGGTTTGTTACAACAAAGTAGTAACTGTGTTATTTATAACTATATTAAAATCCTTAGAGTCGAAAATATTCTATAAGGAATTGAGTTTTTGCCACAAACTCTGATTTTCCAATC